AAGACCAAACTTGAAATAGGTTAAGGTTAGATAATCAACGTTAATGCTCCTAGAATGATGATGTGATCTAGGGGTCAAAATTTTGGGTATAGCACATCCTAGTATCCTGCACTGTTCCTATCCCCAATTCTTGTAGATGGATAAAGGCATGAGACTAACACTTGCTCCAAAATCAATAAGAGCTCTTTTGAATGACCTATCCCCAATGGTGCATGAGATGGTAACGAAACCTCAATCTTTCTTCTTCACTGGAATCTTCATACCCTGCAAAATAACACTATAAGTTTTGGTTAGAATAATAGTATCGGTATCAATTATTCACTTATTTAAGATGATGTCCTTCATGAATTTTAGTTCAATACATTAATTAAAAGAATTCTCTAATTTTGTCAGATTTCAAAGAAAAACTATTTTTTTATTATTAAATATATGAATCTGACTATCTAAAACCATATTTTTTACCCATTTTATTTTCTAAAATAGAATAAAAATATATTTTTAATAACATTTTCCATAATACTTTGTAAAAAAAATATAGCACAATGAAACTACAATTCAATAGAAGTTTAAAATTATTATTATTAACTTAGATATGATTTTTCTATTTTTATTAGTTAGTGGAAAAATATCATAAGATAGGTTAAGAATAAGAAAGAAAAAAATAATTAACATGTTTGATGGGAGAAAATATTTAATTTACTAACATGTGATTTTTCCATTAAAAAAATACATTGGTTAAAGAAAGGTAAAAACAAATTAGATAATCATTAGAAGCTTGGGAGTATCTTTCTTATATTTTAAATTATCATTAGAAGTTTGAGGCTATTAGCACTTGAAAATAATCATATTTTAAAACAAAATTAGGCTTCTAAAAATACTACCCTTTTGGCATGCAGCTTCGCTCCAGTCCAGAGACTCATTTTCCTACTCAAACAAAAACCGTCAAATTCAAACTGAAATAACCAAACAAAACTGCGTCTCTCACACTATCACTTTTGACTTAACATCAAACCTCTCTCCTTGTTTTTCTTTGTAGAAATGTCTATGAAGCTGAAACTCTTGTACCCCCACACACCCATTTTCGCATATGGAAACACCAACACAGACAAAACCGAACAACTTTCCAACACCACTCTTAGAAAACAGAGACTCCCTCTCAACACCACTGTTAGAAAACAGAGACTCCCTCTCAACACCGGAACAACCATCGTTAAGCGCGTACAAAGAAGTGGAGTTCGTAAATCTCAAGACACCCTGTTGAAGAAACAAGGTCCTGAAAAGAATTCACAAGATGGGGTTCTCCAAAACAAGAAACTTGGTGTGCACACCAAGTGTTCGACGAAACGGGTCTCTTACGGTGGAATCATTCCTTCCATTTTGAATGACTTGGATACGATTCAGGATGTTGAAGAGGCTCTGAGACCGTGGGAAAACAAGATTAACAACAAGGAAAGGAGTATTATTTTGAAGCAGCAGTTGAAGTGGGGTAGAGCTTTGGAAATTTTCAACTGGTTTAACCATAACTCTCATGAGTTGAATGTGATTCATTACAATATTATGATTAGGATTCTTGGGAAGTCGCGTGAGTGGACGTTTTTGGAGGGTTTGTGGAATCAGATGAACGCTAGAGGGATTGTTGCCACAAATTCTACTTATGGAACTTTGATTGATGTTTATAGTAAAGCTGGGCTTAAAGAAGACGCGCTTTTCTGGCTTGAGACTATGCTAGAACATGGGATTGAACCGGATGAGGTTACTATGGTGAGTGTAGTTCAACTGTACAAGAAAGCGGGTGAGTTTCAGAAAGCGGAGGAGTTTTTCAAAAAGTGGTCGTTAGGTGAACCTTTGAGACCAAGTAATAATAATCATATGAAGGCTGCTCTGGAATTGGACGAGAGGGCTTCGTTTTCCAATGTTTCTTTCGGGTCACATACATATAACACTTTGATTGATACATATGGAAAGGCTGGTCAGCTTAAAGAAGCTTCTGAGACTTTTGCTAAGATGCTTAAACAAGGCATACCGCCTACTACGGTGACATTTAATACGATGATTCACATTTGTGGAAACCATGGACGGTTAGAGGAACTGAGTTCACTTCTGCAGAAAATGGAAGAGTTGCGATGCTCACCAGACACAAGGACTTATAATATTCTTATCTCTCTACATACTAAGCATAATGATATTGATATGGCAACAAAATATTTTAAAAGAATGAAGGCGGCCCGCCTCGAGCCAGATCTTGTGAGTTACCGTACCCTCTTGTATGCATACAGTATAAGGAAAATGGTTTGTGAAGCAGAAGAGCTTATATCAGAGATGGATAAGAAGGGCCTCCAAATTGATCAGTTCACCCAATCTGCTTTGACTCGGATGTACATCGAAGCAGGAATGCTTGAGCGGTCCTTGTTATGGTTTCATAGGTTTCATCTGGCTGGCAATATGACATCTGAGTGCTATGCTGCCAACATTGATGCATATGGAGAGGACGGACATATTTTGGAAGCTGAGAAAGTCTTCATTTGGTGCCAAGAGCGGAAGAAACTCAGTGTCCTTGAGTTCAACGTGATGATTAAAGCTTATGGTAAAGGGAAATGCTACGATAAAGCGTGTCAATTGTTTGATAGTATGGATAAACACAGTGTAGCTGCAGACAGGTGCAGCTATAGCTCTCTCATACAAATTTTGGCCAGTGCTGACCAGCCTCACATTGCCAAACCTTATTTGAAAAAAATGCAGGTGGCAGGATTAGTGACTAATTGCATCCCATATTGTGCTGTGATTTCCAGTTTTGTAAAATTAGGGCAATTGGAAATGGCAGAAGATGTGTACAAGGAAATGATCGGATATGGTGTGAAGCCCGACGTTATAGTTTACGGGGTATTGATCAATGCTCTTTTTGACGCTGGAAGGGTTAAAGAAGCCTTATATTATGCCGATGAATTGAAAAGAGCTGGCTTGCCGGGGAATGCAGTTATATATAATTCTTTGATGAAGTTGTATACAAAAGTTGGCTATCTGAAAGAAGCACAAGAAACATACAAGCTTCTTCAATCGTCAGAAGAAGGTCCTGCAGTATATTCTTCAAATTGTATGATTGGTCTTTATACTAAACAATCTATGGTTGACCCGGCAAAAGAGATATTTGAGACATTAAAGAAAAATGGAACTGCAAATGAGTTCTCCTATGCAATGATGTTATTTTTGTACAAAAAAAGTGAAAGGTTTGATGAAGCCATTCAAATTGCAAAGCAGATGAGAAAATTAGGACTCTTGACAGATTCATTAAGTTATAACAATGTCCTTGACCTGTATGCTAATGCTGGGAGACCCAAAGAAGCAATACAGACTTTCAAGGACATGGTAACAGCTTCAATACAACTTGATGATTGTAGTTTAAGATCACTTAGAAATCTTTTGCTTAGATATGGAGCATCAAGGCAAGCTCTTGACAAATTACAAGTATCGATGAAAAAGGACACTTCCAATGGTTTACGGGCATGGATGTCGGCACTCACAAGTGTGCTTGAAATGGATGAATATGGTAACAAATAGATTTATTCTCTGCAATTGGTCTTCAAAGACATTGCTTTGTTAGGCTCACAAAGTTTTGTTGATGGATATGAGAATGCCATCAGTATGACAGCATGCTGGCAACATTTGTCAAAATTTGAAGTGCATTATATAATGCAAGATTGACATGATTCGGTGATTGGTATGCTTCAGTTTTATCCAGTCTCGTAGCTTAATATGGCCTAAAGGAACTTGAGTTGGAGCTGTTGGCTGTTAGAATAGACAACTTTTATGTGTGATATAAGTAAATCTTCAGTAATGTTATCCTTAAACCAATTCTGAAGCCACGACTTCAGATCCTGTATTATATAATGACAGAGAAGGAATCCGAGGAAGGCAGGCTCAATCTCTTATAATTTAGTGGCAATCTCTTGATCCATATAATTGACCTTACTTGGTAGAATAAGATTTGGTTGTTGTTGACTTTTGTTGTGAGAGAGGGCGGGTAGAATAGCCCTCACCGCTTTTCACTGAAGGAGGATTGAGTAGTCTCATGGATTGTGTACTCTCCAGCACATAAGAGGTAGAGTTGGACATGTTAAAGATCTTGATGTCGAGTTAGATGTTATCGTTGTTATTATGTAGAGTCGGCAACTCAGGGTGATACCAAGGTTCCTCCTCAAGCTGATACGGAGGTTCATGTTGTAACTGATATGTAGGTGGTGGCTCAGACTGATACGGAGTCTTCTATACACACAAATATATGTATAATGTTGGTCCTTTTCCTGAAATTAACGACAAATTTTAGTTTTATTTAAATTTTGTAAAAAATATCGTAGATGATGAAACCCAATTTCTTGTGTTTCTCACCCTTCAATCTGCACATTAGAAAATTTCTTCAACTGTCTCATGGGTGGGCACCTTCAATGAGACGCAATTCTGAAATAATTAAAGCATGAACAATCATTTACTTTCAATTAATTAATAATAAATAAAAGACTTAATAGCATTTTTGGTCCTGTATCTTAAAGCTCAAGATTCATTTGGATATGTTAAACTAAACAAGTGCTCAAGCAAACTATTACTGTCCTTAAACTAAACAAGTGCCCAAGTAAACTACAGATTTTCAAAGAGAGATGATGACTTTTTTTTTCTTTTTCAAATTAACAATGCTACAATTAAAAGATTTATTTGGAGGTTAAAAACTGTCCAAATGTCTCATCTTAGAGACAATAGCACAATCATCTTAAATATTTATTTTTTTAACAATGCCATGATTAAAATGAAATGAACACACTTCAAAATGTGGAAACAGTTTCTAACTAATTTGGAGGGTAGAAGTTGTGTTCCAAATGTCTCGATTATACAGATTTGATCTCTCACTATGATTACATGTTGAAGCCTTCTGTCAACAAATAAGCAAAAATAACAGTGGTGAAGCACCGCTCTCTAGTCAAGGTTCAGTGAAAGAAAGCAAGATTCATAGGCTAATAACCGCCCATGCCCCCCATGCCGCCCATGCCGCCAGGCATAGCAGAACCATCTTTATCATCACTTGGGAGTTCAGACACAATAGCTTCAGTTGTTGTCATCAAAGATGACACACTGCAGGAAAATGGTGGTTAGTAAATGCAACATATAACATTACCAATAACATCTATACGCAATGCAAATTCTTAATATCTTACCTGGCTGCATCAACCAAGGCGGTCCTGATCACCTTCAATGGATCAATAATTCCAGCTTTAATCATATCAACATATTCACCTAAGCAAGAAGAAAGTTGAAGAATCAGTAGTAATAAAAATAACCTGGATCATCATATAAAAGGAACTCCAAAAGTAACCAACAGGAACTACAGAACTCTCAACACCATGATTAAAGGAAACCACAAAAGCAACCATCAATTTTGATCAGACATTTTTTGAATATATTTGCCCTTGACAACACAATTATGTGCCAATATTATATTTAAAAATATATAACAATGTTGAAACCAAAATTTAGATAAGTTTGTATGGCATTATGAAACTAAAACAAGCAAATTAAATTTAAAAAATACCATTATAAATTAAATATATTAAACAAATATAAAATGAAGCACTACAGAAAAAGTAGATGGACGGGCATGTTAGTGCCATCTTTCCACTGGTAATAATAATGTAAATTAAAGAAACACCTTACTATCTTTTGAGAAAAGAAAACACAACACGGAAAAAGAAAACAAGGTAACTGACCTTTGGCGGCATCGTACCCAAGATCAGGATTATCCTGTTCCAATAGTTTACCAACAACTACAGCACCCTCAACTCCAGCATTTGATGCAATTGTGTGCACAGGTGTCTGCAATTTTGTTTTAACATGTAGTAAAAGAGTGAGAAACTGAAGTTGAAGTTAGAAAACATAGTGTCTTAGGGGCAAATTCAGGTCAAAATATTGCAGGATGAGGCCAAAAATGTGATAGCAAGGGAAGAGAAAGGACAGTCTGTTGAGAGGAACACTGACAAAAACAAAACAATATGGATGATTTAAACTTAAAGTCAGTGTAAGTGCAAAATAGACTAACCTTCAAAGCATTTTGAATAATCTGGACACCTATCTTCTGATCAAAATTGGCAGTTACAAGCTTACTTAACTCATTTGACGCATAAAGAAGAGCAACACCACCACCTGTGTAAAACAGACTTGATCAGATACGAATTATGATTGGAGAATGTTGAACTAAGCACACAAATGTCGGTGCTAATGATTTACCAGGTACTATGCCTTCCTCTACAGCTGCCTTGGTTGCATTTAAGGCATCTGTTACTCTATCCTTTTTCTCACCAACTTCAGCTTCACTGGCTCCTCCAATCTACATATGTTAAGTTTCAGGTGTTAGTTTTATCAAGTAAAAACCTTAGGATGATTAACATTAACATGTAATAAAAGACCATAAGCAAGGTCAACTTGAATAACCATATGCACCTTAAGCACAGCAACACCCCCAGAAAGCTTGGCCAATCTTTCCTGTAATTTCTCCTTGTCATAATCTGAAGTACTATTTTCAACTGCAGACCTAATCTGTAAATCAATTCGTAACGTGAAACAGTTCAGAAGAAGCACCATCGAAAAACCAGACCTAGATCTATATGAAAATGGTAAAATCTAATTGAATTGGAGATTTAAACAAACCTGCTCACATCTTTCCTCGATAGCTTTCTTATCACCAGCACCGTCAAGAATAACAGTGTCATCTTTGGAAATTGTAATCTAAAAGATTAAGAAACTTAGATCAGTCGTCTAAATTATTTGACCCTATATTTTATCATGCTAAAATTGTTAAGGAATTAGTAGAAAAATTAATTTGAGCTAATGCACATCAATCAAGGAAAGTCTGCATCCTTTACCAAAACTAAGAGTTCATGGACATTAACCAAAGAAGTGTATCAAAACTCAACCGGGCATTAAAATCCTACGTTAATAAAGCTAAACCGCTACCTTTTTGCAAGAGCCAAACATTTCCAGATCCACTTTCTCAAGATTGTGGCCGAGATCTTCAGTAATAAGCTGAATATAGAGAAAACATATTATTCATGGATTTAAAGGATGGGAGGGAATATAAGTTTAACCTTATTGCGAATAGATAACTTACTTGACCTCCTGTAAGAACAGCAAGATCCTGGAGACCAGATTTACGATTTTCACCAAAACCAGGGGCTTTAATGGCACATACCTAAAGATTAAGACCGTGCAACAAATATCAAATTAAATAAGCAAAACTAAGAATCCAAAACTTAAAAGTACCTAAGAACAAATAAATAACACTACATATAGACAAAGCAAACCTTGATTCCAGCGCGAAGCTTATTTAGGATAAGAGTTGCAAGGGCATCACTTTCAACATCTTCGGCGACAATCAATAGAGGTCTTTGTTTCTGGTGATGAAGATGTGTGGGTCAGTATCAATATTTTACAATTCAATGTAAAATGCTGAAAATAGTATTACTCACCTTTAAAGCTAACTCTAAGACTTTAACTATAGCATTTATATTTGAGATTTTCTTCTCATGGATTATGATGAGGGGATCCTCAAGTTCCTGTGTACACAAATAGATGGCAACATTAGACATGATATATCAACAAAACGACAGACAAATTCATGACAAAAGGTGAATTAGCAAGCATAGTTATCAATCCCAAGAAATGGCATATCACGGCCAGCCCAAAATATAGCAGTGGCTTCCCTATTATAAAAGTATAGACATAGACATGTATAACAAATATAAGCTTGCTTGGAAGTATTATTCACAAATATTTATAATGGTGCTCAATTGAGGCATCAAGAGAGAACATACACATTTCTGGTTCTTCTGGTTTGTTATGAAATACGGAGAAATATAGCCTCGGTCAAGCTTCATTCCTTCGACAACTTCCAACTCGTTGAGCAATGTTTTGCCATCCTGACACAAGATCAAAAGTTAGATCCCAGCGTAAGTGCAGGGCATAAATATTCAAACATGAACCCTTTTAAAGTATAATAGGGATGAAAAGAAATAGCAAAATAAAGAGTGACCAAGAGGGTTATTATATTAAGATAAGCATTACATGAATAACACCCTGCCCATATCAATAAAACATGTAAAACCCAGATAAATGACATAGATGATGTTAGCAAGATGAGCACGTGAAAACTTACAGCAATTGTGATTACACCTTCTTTGCCAACTTTCTCCATAGCTTTTGCAATTAACTCACCAATTTCTCTCTCCCCGTTAGCAGATATGGTCCCTACCTGTTATGGCAACATTTAAAATATTAAGTTCACCATAGTTCACGACTCACAGTCCTTGTTGCTCTCTCCATATCCTACAATTTGCCTATTAACTTTAGCTCTAAAACTTTAGACAAACCTGGGCTATTTCTTCAGAAGTGCTAATCATTCGTGCTCTGCTTTTAAGGCTTGTCACAACGGCATCAACAGCCATATTTATACCTCGCCTCAGGTCCATCGCATTCATTCCAGCTGCAACTGATTTACACCCTTCCGCAAATATTGCTCGAGTAAGAATTGTAGCACATGTAGTTCCTGCCAAAATTTAGACCACTTATTAAATTACCCAATCAAAGAGTAACAATAATAATAAAACAAACACAAAATATCATCATGTCAGATATAACAGTATCTGGATTTCGATTTCCAGCATCAATAAAATGTCCTAGGGATAAAACAAATTCAATTGTGTAGATTTACAAGAAAGTTGTACAATCTTCCACAGATAAAAAAGCTTACCATCACCAGCCACATCATTGGTAGCATTAGCAACCTGCTTCACAAGACTGGCACCAATATTCTTGACTTTATCCTTGAACTCAATGCTCTTAGCAACAGTTACTCCATCTTTAGTTACTTTAGGGGCACCATAACTTTGCTCAATAACCACATTACGACCCTAAAAACAGGAGAAATGATACATTTATAATCATGATCCACAAATAAATAAATAAAGAGACAGAGATCGATAATTTGACATCTTCCATTCCTAGGATCAAATAGGTACTCATTGCTTCTCCTACAATCAAAATTGGTACTTATTCCTTTTGATAAATTGAACATGGTATGGGAAGGAATATAACGCCAGCATCGGCATTATTACATTATATAAAGCATTTTTTCAACTCTTTCTCCTTATTCTGCTCCCTTTCCAGAATATATCTTTTCACTGCGAAAGGAACTAGAAGATATGCTTAGTTACCTTAGGACCCATGGTTACTTTAACTGCCTCAGCAAGTTCTTCAACACCCTTAAGCATCAAAGCCCGAGCCTCCACACCAAATTTGATATCTTTTGCTGCATAATTTCTACTCCATGCCACCCTACTTCCAATCTATCCAACACAAACAAAAAACAAGCATATATTCAGGATCAAAAGAATTACTAATCTCAACATTTTCAACAAAAAAATATAAAAAAATGCGATTTAAACAACAGTACTCCACCTGATGAGCGTTGTTTCTAGCAATCCTACATCAAAAAACACAATAATTTACAGTCAGATCCACTCAAGATAATTGGATATTAACTCACAAAGTATACAAAAGTAAGCAACCAATGAAAAAGAGCTATAATTTTGATACATTTCCAATCATTTCTTGGCGATCGATGTGATCAATTACAAAAAAAATGAAAAAACTGAACCTAGATGAAGTGAACAAATCTAATTCAAAAGATATCTGAAATTAAACGAGAATGCTACCATTGCTGACTTACCGAGCTTTGGATGCAATTGAGGTAGCAAAACGGTACATGGTGTGATTGAGTAACTGAGAAAATGAAGTAGAGCCGAAATTGCAGAGACCGACGACGTTGAGAGAGGAACGCTGCACAGTTCCTTTTGAAGGAAAGAGAAGGGTCTAGATGAAGCAGCTTTTAGGGTTTAGGGTTTTAAGTTTTAACTTGTTTTTGTAAATTGTTTTTACCCCTAACTAGTTTTAAGTTCTCACTTTTGACCCCTTGTTTTATTTCTTTTGGTGCCCCTTTTGTGTTGATGATTCGGTGAAACACTTATTAAAAATAATAATACGACCCCTGAAGCTTTAGTTAACTTTTGATATTGCCCTTGTTATCACCATATTGTTTGTTTAAAGAAAGAGGTAAGTACACAAGGTAAGTAGCCAGAAAGTTATAAAAGAGAAAGTACAAGTTCAAACAAACTTTTCATTGTTTGGAAATCAAAGAAAAATAGAAGGAAAGAAATATTGACAAGTGTTTTCCTCTTTAAATTTCGAGTGAAATAAATACCTTGTGTTATAAGGTATAAGAGAGTTTTAGGTTCTGATATGTAAAAAAGTGAATGAATTTCTAGTTAACTGATTGTCTTATTATTTATAGATATGATTATTTGATAATTAGACTAGTTAAGAGATCGATTCAAACACCTACGAGCTTGGTAAGACGTCTATTGGCTTTGACTCAATAGTGGAGTAAATGAGGTGAGTCATCCCTTTAATATGGGGTGTGACTAACCCATAGAATCATGAATACTTCAGTTATTGACTAAGAGAATCCCGTTAGACTTACTTAAAATGTGGCTTGACATGTTCCCTTACAAGATGTGATATAGAAGTAAATAAGGCGAGTTTGACCACATGTCTGTCATGTGACCTTGCCCTTCCTTACTTAAATACTCCATGTGTTGCTTATGAGTTAGAGAGTTAATGTGTTGAGGACTTTAGTCTTCAATGAACTTGTTATGTGATATCATAATTGGGCCTCACTGAAGATATTCCAGTCAAGAGTCCCTTAAGCACAAGGCATGTAAGGGGAAAATGTTTAAGTAAAGACATTTTAGTCTATAGTTCCTCAAGAGCAAAGATTGTAAATGCATAGTTAGTGGCTAAGTGAAGACATTCTGGTTCACAATCATTCAAGAACAAGGCATGTGATGGTGGAGTATAAAGTGAATAAGCGCGTTTGATGGTGGCATTGACTGACCTTTCAATTGGTGTATGTACTTAGGTTTGAATATTGGTTTTGATATCTTAGAAGGTATTGATGGTGATTTCATTCAGATTAACGGTTACGCTTATGGATTAAAGATGGAACTAATGTGGTGAAGTGATTAAATATGCCTAGAGAATGACCAACCAATCTAAATCGTTTGTTTGCTTGCATGCTTGTGATCATGGTCTTTGATGATTTGTCACGACAATGATGGATATGCCTCTATTAACGACTAATTGGTTTATGGATACTAGTTTTCTTTAATAAATACACGACCCTTTATTCTTTTCTTTTTCATCGCTTCTTCCATCTTGTTCCTTACTCCTCTAGCAATCGTACTTTCTTTCATTAGTTTGTTAATCCAACATTTCCCCAAGTGAATTTTCAACGCATGTATTTAGTTATGTTACTCTTATATCTTTTTCCTTTTAACGTTTAGGCGGTGGTGTTCATTAGAGAGTGTGATGTGCATAACAATTTGATAGAACCTAAAATGTGTGAAGAGAGATGTATGATATGGAATCGTTGTTTAGAAAATTTAAGGCAACACAACAGAGAGTTCAATTAAAAACTTGTTGAGTTAGGTATGTTTCGAAGTTACGACAATAGTTTTAATAACTCTGATTGTAACGAGGGAAATAATAGTGACATTGTTTTGCCTTTCTCTTACCCAAGACGAGCAGGATCAATAATGGATACCATGTATGATACTCCCTTCAGTGGCAAAGTCAAAAGTATTAACTCAATTTTCGATAATGATATCAGGGTGGCTTCGTTCTATAAGGGTATGCACATATCTATCATCAGTGACGAAGATGATGATGTTCTATTAGAGCCTTGTATTGAGGCCGACAAAGTTCATTTGAGGATACTACAAGGGCGGGGAACAAATACTTCTACATGTACACATGAGTTATCATCGATATGGGTGTGGGAGTTTTGTTTACTGTGTTTGAGGTCGACATCTTAAAGACTGTAAATGGCGGCTCATTCTAACTACATCCAAGTAATTGGGATTTTATTATGGGGTTGTAAAATCTTGTGTGGAGCTCTTGGGATCAAGCATATGATGAGTATTTCCTTTTATTTTTATGGTACGGAGGGAGCCCACAATAGTGGTTGAATCTCAATAAGCTCTTTCATAAATAAGAGCACGTTCACCTTATATTCATCAAACTGTAAGAATTGGAAAAACAAATTTGTATGAGTATATGATAGCATAAAGTGCTTGATGGTCATGCTCAAGGAGACCATTGACTATAAATTTCCTTTATACTGGGTGAATGAGCCTATGCCGATAAATGGTTTTGACTATGATAGGCGAAACAAGGAGGAGAAAGCCATCGTCAGTTTTTTAGGACAATTTTTTTATGAGAAGGACAAGAAGATGCCCAACGAATATTTACGTCAGTATCAATTATACATCTATTTTAACTTTATATGCATTTATTCTCATTAAATTATTAATTTGATTGTATAGAGGATGACTCGCTATCGATCTCATAGAGGAAAGCTTTACTGTAGAAGATGAAAGTCAAGTTGGGGGATGTGGGAGTTGGCAACCAGAAGAGCGACTCATCTGACTTATTGACTCATGTTGCAAAGAAAAGGAAACTCGTAAACAAGGCCCGAATTATCTAGGCGATGCCGCTTTTGAACATAAAGCTGGCCTCGCTTGGCGAGGTCTGGCCATCTCCTAGGTCCAAAAAAGTATAAGGTTGTTAGAGGAAAATATCACATTGCTTTTGAGTCAGATAGCTCAATAGACTTAGAGGATGAGGTGCCTCAATATGGTATTGTGGTTGCCCCTAGATATAGAGTATTTGTTGAACAAATGACTCCGAACACGAGAAAGGGGGTGAGTTGTGATAAACATATTTTAAAAACTTTTTCACAAAAAAGATTTATGTTGGAAGCATATATGAATAGAGAATAGTCATCAGAATAGATGAATAACAATAAAGAATATAAAGACATAAATATAAATAGAAAAGATAAGAAATATCTTACCATAGATTACTCTAATCAGACCTTAAACCATGCAGCCTACTCCAGTCGCCAAGAGTTTCCTCTTGAGATTCCCACTGAACCAACTTGAGTTTTTGCACAGGATCTAACCATTAACCTTAAAAAACTTGAGCTTTTGCATAAGATTAATCCAACAACCTTATACCAAGCTTTTCACATGCTTAGCTTGCAATGTTCAAATCTACTATAAAATATTATAATAAATCTCAGCTTTTGAGAAAGCAATTTTAGCATAACACAGGTACAACACAATTTTTAGATGAAACTTTTCACTCTTTTGTCACTAAGGCAACCTTTAGTGAAAATAAAACTTATAAAATATATAGAATGAGGGAGATAGGAGAGTAATTTTATTTAGAAAACTTATGTGTTAAGATGTGAGGAAGGACCTTCTTTATATATGTAATCGTTTAGCTTTAAAGGGAAACAATTTGTGGGCTTTGGTGCCTCCTGATATAATAGAATACCTACTTAATCAATCAGGTTAAACCAAAATGGGAAACCCAAATTTCCAACGTCACGTAACTGATTAACAAGTCAACTTTACCGTTTAGAAGGTGTTATTATTGTTCTAATATATTAAATGAAGGTCCTAGTTAATTAGATAGTTGAGCTTTGTTTCCTTAATTGATCAAAAAGCTTATTAATTGATTAAGTACTTGCCTGAATTGGTTTGAATAAGTTTTAGTGAAAATATGAGAAGTTTTAAATACTTCTGTGTGTGCGCGTACGTGTGTGCATCACCTTAGTACTGCAAGACCTATTCTTTCTTCATTTATATTTAGTTGATCAAACTATAATATAAAACACAAAGCGCGTGAATAGGTGAACCTTCACAATTCACAACTTCAGTTCCTTCTTGATTTATCTTTGTTTAGCTCTTTCGGCTGGAACTCTGAACACTTTGACTTATGTTTTCTTCTTGATTGATGATGCATGTGACTTATTATTATTTTTATTTAGTTATCATCATTAGAACCTCTAAAATATATTAACATGCACAATACAGAATTATAATATCATCTTCAATTCCTTCAGGAAATGAGAAGGCGTATTCTCTTTTGGATAATGATTTTGATGGCATCAGTGTAAGTATGATAATAAATCTAAGACAGGGTTAATTAGATTTGATGGACATTTCATGTTTTTGTGAAAAATTTCTTATCGTTAACTTTTTATGAAAAGGAAGGATAATGTTTAACTTGAATTATCAAGGAGAAAAAATTAAAAGCAATAATGTAAAAGACACACAAGATTTATACTAGTTCCTCTTAACAACTAAGAGTGCACCTAATCTGTATGCCCATTTGAGGATTTTCCAATGTGGTTAGATCTTTTTACATGTTTTCAACAATACCTCTCTACGAACTTCTAAAACATACACAAACACCAAACAATATGGTGAACTTTGAATTACCCAAATTCAAATTATTTTTTCACAAATACCAAACACTATGGTGGATTTTGAATCACCCCAATTCAAATGACCTTTTTCACAAACACCAAAAACCATAGTGGACATTGAATCACCTCAATTCAAAGAACATTTTTGAATCACTCCAATTCAAAGAACCTTGTTCAAATAACATATCACCACAAACTGGATGATTAAGTCACACCACATATACTTTGAATGATCTTTGAGAAATTTAATATTGACTTAGTTCCAAGTATAACAATTTGTTTTTATATTTTTTCAATATTACAATTCAAACTAATGTACTTTAAGTGCTCAAAATATGGTATGAAACTTTTGAATAATTTGAAATTTATGCAC